ATGCTGAGAGTCCCCGAGCAAGAAACAGGTTATGCATTGACACTACATACATACGAGGGGGTATCGAAAAGTTCTGATCATCACCATGAATTAGATGTGATAGAATTTTGATTTTTTTACATGATGTTGATAACTCCTTTACAAGTCACCACACACGACCGCAAAACTATTGCATCGTTTCTTGAGCTGCCTCAGGCGGTCATTGTAGGACCCTCGCGCTGTCCCGTAAATCACTACTCCACCTGATCAATGACGTCATTTCTGTCCTTAAATCACCGGCCATACTGTGGATTCTTCATCTCCCGTAACAATCAAGAGTCAGTTAATACCCGGTCAGGCGAATTTCTTAGATGCGGTAGGATTTAATGTCCACATCATGTTGTTTCTTCAATCGCAGCTCAGGACGACTGGGCGGGGACGCTGTCAGTGCGGATAAAACATCTTTCTTGGGCTTTTTTGAGGCGATTCTGCTTGAGGCCATCTCACAACTTCTTGAAAAGTGTGCAGTAGTGCTTGCTTATCATTATCCGACCATCATCAAGACAGTCGGTAATGACTATCCTACGCCAGATCCAGAACACTGATAGCATTGACCTTCCATATCGGCTTCTGCATCTTCGCCTTTTAAGAAGGACAGATGTGCCTTGCTTAAACTTCTTGATCATCTTTTTGTCTCTGGATCATACATATAGATCCAGCATTCGTCACAAGTCATCAAATGATCGAAGATGTCTTCAATTTCCTAAAAAAGGCCTAGTTTTCATTTCGAAAGGCCAAGACGCATTTTTCTCTTGAACAAAGTAGACACACGAAATTGTAAGCGGGCTGACTCCTTTATCGTCTGTAGTTCTTCGCTGATAATATCTTCAGGCACTGCCAGCATTGAAACCTTTCTATTGCACAATCATCTGAAAGGTCACACGACGATCTGTAAGGATGAGGTCCTCCACTTCCTTCACAGTCACCACCTTGTCAGTCACTGGTAGTCACTCACTTCTTGACTCCCCTGCAAGGGCCATGCAACCAAGTAGAAAATCATTTCTTCATTTTCGGTAAGTGCATGAGATGGGCTTTCTTCGCCATAAACTAATTTCACGTTCTTGATGTATTTTCTCAGTGTGATACCGTTTCAAATGCATTAGTTGGATGACGGTTCGGTCCTCAATGGGCCCAATATTCATCTTTTTTAATTCTAAGTCTCTCCTACATAAGATAAAACCACTTCTCAGGATTTTCTTTGCGGGAACATTGTTCTTAAGTACCAAATATGATACCAACCAAAAATAATCAAAATCGGTCTATATCTTCTATGTGATGATCAGAACTTTTCGATACCCCCTCGTACATGGCTCTACACGACCTGACGATTAAAACACTTAGCCACGCTTATAAATGCAATTGCACAACTTCTTATGCACGGCGATTGTCAGCAAGCCAACGTAAAAATAGGCAATTGGATCATGTGATGATCTCCTGCCGAAAGAATCGCTTGATTACCACCACTCCTTAAAGATTCGTAACGATTTGCATTTTCCATTGACACAAAAGAGATGGCGCGGCGGTCATCTCTATTCTCTGTTGGACCTTCTTCAGTAAGCTACTGGCCAAACACTTCAGAAGCAGCTCCACTCCCACGCCAATGTATAGTGGACAGCGGTTGGTATAGAATGGCACCCTGTTTGCAATGGCTAACACCGGGAGCTCCATCGGGCGGACCCGTCAGCCGCGCTCCGTATGTGCGCGCCCGTCGCCGGCGGCCGAGCCGCCAACGGGTGGAGCTCAGTCCGTCCAGCCGCCGCTGTTTGACTGCATGAATGGACGGCCCACGCTAATCCGAGAGCTGCCAAGGTCCACGGTCCGGTGGGTGCGCCGTGCCGCCGCCGCGACCCGCGCCGTGACACGACGTCATCCGACCAGCCGAGACAGTCGCGGTCCCCGGCCGGTGCCCCGAGAGCTCTCACGGAGCTCCAATGAGCCACTCACGGAGTTCTAATGAACCACTCATGGCTCTCATGAGCCATTAATGAGCGGCTAAGGGGCCGGTAACGAGGCGCAGTTCCGTCACCGAGCTCACGGCGGCACTCCTCCCGCGTTGCCGCGTGATGTCTCGAGTTGGCCGGCGCGGCGGCGCGCCCACCTCAGGTTAGCACGACAGGGCGTCACCGGCCGGTGGGAAGTGCGGCGCCGGACCTAGCCGAGGGTGGGGTCGCGGCAGCGCCAGTCCGCACCCACCCGGCCGAGGTTACATGCGCGCGGTGCGTTATCGAACCACCCCCGCGCCGGCTGTCGCTGCTGAGTTGCTACTGTCGGCACTCGGCACCGACTGTTATCCGTTCTCATTACACTCAGCGCACATGGTCTGTCTACTAACGACGAGTTATTTCGCGCCACACGAGGTCACGTCAGTGAGTCGCTGTCCTGTCGGCGTGCAGGCGTCTGTGGCTGACGGATATACGGCTGTTCAGTGTCCACCGACACTAGCTCACCCCGCCCGTCAGTCGCTACCCCCGCGCCGCACCAAATGGTCGGCGGCCAACGCCCAGCGTCCTCGCAGCCATCTGATGGCACCGGACACCCGCCTGCGTGAGAGTCACAATAGAATTCCGCCGAGAAAGTGCCCACTCACTGCGGTGACAAAAAGTGAAAACGTCTTCCCATGAGGCGCGTCCTTGACCGTGGCACTACTGGCCTACTGCCCGATTGAGGTGGCATCCTCCGGCTGAGACGAACCGTTCAGAACTCGGAACTCTAAACAGGTGTGGAGGTCGCCACGCACATACCAGGGAAGCCTTTAAAGGCACCGCTCTCAAATCGTCTCACGGCCGGTCGGTCGAAATTGTCGCGGAGGCGGAAACCGGAGAGGCAGCCCTGAACTGGAAATGAGGCGCGCTCCCTCAGAAGCCAGTCTGCTGACGAATCGGCAGAGGTTCGGGCTGTGTGTGTGGGAGGAGGTGAACCAGCCGCTACCGCTTCCGGAGTCTAAACGGACACCGCCGCCGCACTCGGCAGCCCGTCCCAAATAGATGGATGGATGTGTCCCCGCCGAAAAAGGCCCGGCTGACCTCGTGGTGCCATATGCATTTATAGGGCACACCTGTGCCGTCCATTGGGTACCCAAGGGGTTTATGACCCATGAAACGGGCTCGGGTTCATTGATCTGACACGTCTGGTAGCTTTCATCAGTTCTGGTTGAAGTGCATCCCAATATGGAGTGGCAGGGATATGTAACTATCGACCATCTGGGATTTAGCGGATAAGCATGCATTTGCGTGAACATTTAGGTAGGGTGTGTTGACAAGTAGATGGCTGAATGCTTTATGGAAATAGCCGATGAATCAAAACGAGTATCTGCAAAACAAAGTACCAACAATGGACAATATGAATATACGAATGAGATGATAGTTCTCTTCTTTAGGGCTAGGGGCACTACTGCAATTCTTATTTTGAATCCTTAAAAAGAGGAACGATGTCATGACCGTTTGAAGTCCCATTTAGAAATTTAGATAAGCCTGTATTTCAGCAACAATGTGACCGTGTTACGACGCCACAAAATAAAACGAAACGAATATTAGATTAAATATAAATGGATAATAAATAGACGGATGTATAAATGAATGAATGAATGCATGAATGAATAAATGAATGCATGCATGCATGCATGAATGAATGAATGAATGAATGAATGAATGAATGACAATTTAGGTTAAGCTCACAATAACGGAATACCGTAAGTTAACCCGCGCCCTGCTGGGGAGGTTGAACACCCCCCCCCCCCTGTGGTTTTTCGCAAATATCTCATGCCGCCGTTTTTGGTACACCTTACCATACATCAATTCTACACATGTTGTGAAAATTTCAGACTAAGGTCATTCAAGGTCAGGTCACCAGGTCACTTGAAGTGACCTCACCTTATAAAAAGTTTCAATGTCTGCCATAGCTACACCGAATGACCGATCGCTTTGAAATTTTCAGCGATTGCTGAGAACAATGACATGTACAAAATGCATATCTCAGAATTTTGATATCGATGATCTAAGGCCAGGTCAATTTTGCGACCTCCCCATTATAAGTCAATTGTAGAAAATTGAAATGCGCCTCTTTTGGACGAAAGACATCATAAACACTCCCAAACACTGAATTACATATGGTTTAGACACACTAACATGAAAATGGTGTCCGTGACCCCTGTTTATGCCCCTGAGGACATCTTAGGTCACGAATGGTATCCAACAGTTTTTCGCAAATAACTTTTGATAGAGGCATGCTAGAGCGATGAAAACGCCTTAGATGTGTTCGGCTCGACGTTGCAGATCGACTGATATGCAACATGACCCTTTCCGGTCAGGTCATGACCTTGACCTGAGGTCAAATTTTCAAGTTGACCTTTCAAGATCAAGTTATAGTTCATTCGATGCGTCTTGACGAGAGGAACACGATGCCGGTAAAATTAAGCTCGTACAAGGCTTGAGTCGAAAGTTATTGCAGAAAACCTGTTTCCGAAAAAAATCGGCTATTTGTGCAGTTTTTGCTCCCTGCAGGCAAAACCGTTGACATTAGGTCACATCTGAGAGGATTACTCAGAAGGGGCGTTAATAGAGCTATCGAATGCGCTTTTCCGCGGAGCTGTAACTCTATTAGTTCCCGAGTTATGCGTTGGCTTCATGGAAATTGTCGACATTCGACCTGGAAATCGGCGAAATTTTGCCTTCAATGACCTCTGGTGACCTAACCTTTGACCTGACCAAAAAATTGACCGAAGTGATTTCGTCATTATTTTTGACGCTCTTTCGAACGCCGCCTTCCGCGTATCGCTACATGGCCCAGGAGCCGAGTTAGAAGGGGGTGTTCAAACACCCCCCCCCCCCCCCCCCAGCAAGGCTTGGAAATCCAGGACCCGCAGCCGGGCGCGGAGCTTGACAAAACCAATCATCTGTCAACTTAACCTTCTCTTTCACCCTCGTCCCAGGCATAGCTCCAATGTAACCCTCTCCTGCCGACAGGTGTAACGCACAATTCGAGCGTCTACCTGTACCGGGAGGGCCAGGAGGCCAGTCCGGCGCTGAAGCTGTTCGCTGAGCTGGGAGACGCGTCCGGACTCGAGTCCACGGCCCAGGGTGCCGAGGGCATCCTGGATCAGTTCACGGCGCCCAAGGTCCCCGGCGAGGGCTCCACGCAGACACACGTCTTCGTCGACGGCACCCACTCCAAGGTGAGGAGGAAAGGGGTAGGGAGGGGCGCCGGCGCGGCGGGAGGGACGCATCAGACAGGTTCAGAGGACCATGGGGTTATGTTTGTGAGGAATATGGTGAATTAGAGGAAACTAGAAGGAAACACTCTGAGGGAACAATTATCTTTCAAAAAAAAAAAAATGCTGGAACCATTAATGAGCCATGAAAATCAATGAGTAGGCATTTCAAGCGCCTTTGTAACAATAATCATTTATGGTGAATCAATGTGTTAATTTGACAAAATTTGTTTTTTTGGTACCTTTCAAAGGCAGTGTATCCACATAAAAACGTCGATTCAATCTAAAGCACCAAATGACAGCTGGCTTTCCTTCTAAGGACGTGTCAAATGCAATGCGTGGGCGCACAGTTACACAACATTGACGTGACCGAATTTATACGCACGTCAGCGTAATTGTGCGTGTCAGCACTCCAACCCCATTGTTTGCTAATGGGATTCCCTGCCCACGGCTTCGGTGACCCACGCCGCTCCGCTGTCAATCAGCCAACCCTAATAAAACCCACGCACGGTCACTAAGCCCTCAGAATAACACACGAGTTCGGACGCGTCAAACACCCGCGCCTACTGCCGGTCGTCAGTCGGGCTTTGTGTTACACCTGATGGGCAACTGGGCAGGGCCGGTAGAGCAGGCACTGTTCGAGTGACTGATAGACGAGCGGATCTTTGTCACAGGCGAGGGAGCTCGCAGCAAGGACCGAAACGAATTTTGACCACAGACTGAAGCAATTAAAATCTGGCAAAACACTCAAATATAACAATCCAGAAACACCTGAAGGGTGAAAAACATGAGGCTTTGGTTATGAAACAAATTCGCCATTTCAGATTTATATATGTTATATACGACACCAAGCAATTTTCCAGGCTATAATCAGATGCATTTACTATCTTTCCCACCAAGCGCTCGAGTAGATGTAGGAACAATAAGAACATCTCCAATTACCTAATTGATTTGTTTCCCGCATTTAGGTTCTGAAATCGGACAATATTCCTCCTAGGCGTTATAGCATTGCATAATGATACCGCTACACCTCCATTCCCGATCAACAAAACCGCATCCACGACAGTCCCATCCCTGCTTGCTCGGATGACGCCTGTGTACAAAGCCCGCCCTGTGTAATGGAGAGTTCACACCCACCACAACACCGTGTAGCCAGCTGTCCGCCATCCATCAGCTGACGGTCGTACACGGGGTGCGCCGCTGTTCGTTCCAACCGCGCCACAGACGCGCCGCGGTTACAGCACCGTCGGATCAGGGTGATGGTGTCACAGGCCGTTGGGGGGGGGGGGGGGTTAATGCCGGTGTGTGGGTGGTGCATGGGATGCCATGCAGGCAGCCAGCGTGCTTTGGGACTTACACGATGCAGAAGACTAGCTCATAAGTCCGGCGTCCAATCAGTTTGTGTTTGAATAGTTCTGATGAAATGCGTCTCTAAATGCTTTGCCGTAAGTCGTATGCGCCCCACAACAAAATGATGAGTGCATTCAAATTTCAAAAAGCCATGCTGTAACATGTATATGTAGGGGAGAGTGGGGCACATTCGTGCATGGAGCACATTCGTTTTTAGCAGTTTATGGGAAGACGAGTGACTGCACGAGCTAAAGGTAAATTATGAAAATACGTCTATCATTGCCGCCCTTCGTTCACTGTAAACGACAACACTGTACCTGCTGTCATGTTTGATTAAAACGCAAATTTGTCATATTCGTGCACTTTCCAAACTTTTCTCATATCATCCATTTTCGTGATCCTGACTCGGAAATGTGGTTTAACTTTTCAAAATTGGGGGCGAAGAAGCTCACTTTATTCCCGGAACTGCTTCAAACTTGTTTGTTGAAAAACTGTCATTTTTTCAATAAGAAATTTTGAAATATATTACAAATAACGTCGTGGGGCAGGTTCGTGTACGCACTGCCTAGGGCACATTCCTCCATATTTTTTTCCGTTTTTGCGATTTATGACTTTATCTGTAGTAGTGACGCTCGCCTGACTCAGTCTCGGCTGCTTGCGACGTCGTGACAAGTAATTCACGTGACCTTTGAGAGGTCATGGAGGCGGGTCGATGGCCGGCAGTTAACACATTCTTGTTGGCCAGCCCATTCTTTCTACATATGTTGAGCAATGCATTCTTGTCGAAAGGAATCAAGTGAAAGGACCCCCTGCCAATTTCTTTTGGTAAATTTCTGGCAATGTCCGGTAATTCCTCGAACTTTGCAGGGTGCACGGAAGTGCCCCACCCCTTGCACGAATGTGCCCCATACCTGGGGCAGTTTCGTGCAAACGTTCAGAGTTATTAAAAGTCATTTTTTCTAATGGAAGCGATAACTTTAGAGGATAACTTTTAAAGAGGAAAAATATCTGCAATAGTTCCTTCCCATACTACAATCAACAATTTTGCCATTGCACTAACCGACGAACAGATATATGGATTTATCCATTTTTTGCACGAATGTGCCCCACTCTCCCCTACCGCTATTGAACATTACTTAGGAGGGTACCTAGCCTGTAATCACGTAGATCACGTGATTATCTCCTCCAGTTATTATTGAAGTAGATGGTGCTGATTTAATGTTTTCTGCAATCAATAACTAAATAATAACGACATTAACGCCCCCAGTACCTACAATTCATGGCCGTGTGCATTTAGGGTAAGACGGCACCCATTAGTTTCATGTAATGTTTGATAATTAGATGAAACCACTGCCTAAAGCATACCTTGAGGCCCAGATCTGCATAACGCGATGGATTCTGCGCGGGGCCCTTCGTCATACAGCAAACCATTTGTCCGCCCCCTCCTGCATCATTCGTAACAGACCGCCCACTCCCATTCCCACACCCAGTCTGTCTGTCCGACCAGCGAAGAGGCCCGCTACCGTGGGCGACCCGTCAGCCCGACCCCCCCCCCCCCCACCTGTCCACCCCCGGCCGGTCGGTTTAGGGGGGGGGGGGCGCAGACAGCCCCGCGGCGACCACTCCCGTCGCGTCTGAGCGGCCACTCCCGGTCCGTCCCATTGACCGTCTCTCGGCTCTCCAGAGCCACCCCACTCCTCGTGTGTCAGTCAGACCGGGCATTATCCCGGCCGGGTCTGCCAAATACAGCGCGGCCGCACCCGTCTTCGGATAACTCCTCATGTCGTAGGTATCCCCGGCTGGGTGGCATTCCACGCGACATTGGCGGTCTGGTGGGAACCGACGACCCAGAGGCCTTGTACGGAAACTGGTGGTCAGGAACGGCGCAGTATCGGCTGACGTCTTTCGGGAGCGGTTCCATAACAATCGGAGATGGGTTCATTGTTACTGGAGTGCTCGTAAATATGATAGATAAGCGTCAGCTCCGGATCGAGCAAACCGAAAAAGATTAACTTAGTACGGCCAAGCAATGAAAGCTTCAGTAATCGGGCATCAATTTAATTCATCGGTGTCCGGCGGCGGACGGCAGACAGCACCCCAGCCCAGGGCTAATTGTCCAACACTTCTGTTTAAAGACGCCAAGCACAATTTATCCATTTCGGCGTGGTTTTGATTGATCATTTGTTTGATGCTTGTATTGATCATTTTCACTTGCCGATAAATGGCAAGCAACGAAACGCCATTCTCCTTTCGTCGGGAATGGGAATACATCAGAGTCATACCAACGCTGCGTGAACTGCTTAGACTAACTGTCAGAATACCTGACTGGGGCAAAGCGGTAAATGAGCAGCTCCCCGACCAGTTTAGGCAGACTGTCCGTCAATGGTTGAAACGAGGTCTTATGGGACTAGTGATCTATATAGTTAGTGGTGAAAGACCACAAGAGCAACAGCCTCGGAATCACCTGGTCTGAGTCCTGAGATGACCAAACGAAACTCACATCGGAGGACCGTAGTGCTGGCAAGCTGGTGAATTGAGCTTTGTCTGGAGCAGCCGGTGGCTTCACTTTGATCATGCTTAGATCTGGGACGAGCCGAGTGATGAGATGTATTTAGCTGGGTAGGTGATGACATTGTGTCTTTGTGTTCCCTTCCTGTAAATTCTACTTGACTATTTGCGCTAATTATGACATATCCTGTTCGAAAGCTGAACCGAGCTATGAAAATATTGCATTGCATATAGGTACGTTTTTCCCTCTGGTGTTGATTGTTATATCATATATGTCTGAAATTAAAAAGTGGCCAGTGTCAGTGACTATACTTAGGCAGCGCCATGTCATGAAACAAAAAAGACTCATTGTTCAAAAGCTTATTAGCTTCGTTCATTTGCATTTTACAAGCTCAAAATAAAGATGCGCATTATGTAGAAGACCTTTACATATTTGATGATCAGTCGATCAACAACATATCGCTGAAACACTCCAATGGCTGGCTATTTTTAGACTGTCCGAATGCCTCCCTCAATCACTCTAATTATCACTATGCATAGCTTCAGCATTCCATCGATGCGTGCTACGCTGCAAGCCACCGTTCCTGACCTCTGATGTCGGGTACATCGACCACCGCTCCTATCTGTCTGATGCCTCAGACATAACAGACACATGAAAAACGCCCACTGCGGCCCTGTCCATCAACATCAGCAATCAGAGAAATAATCACCTAACCGCAAACGTCATATCAGCTGCACCCTCAGCATTGTTTTCACGGTAAGCTTTGAATTCTTCCACCATGAGTCGCCAGTCGAGTTAAACTGGACTTGACCTTCCCGATTTACAATGAAGCTCCAGACAGCACCACGACTGCAGACAAATCGCTCCAAACAACAGATTGTTGATCACTACATCAACACCAGCACCACACACGGCGTCCAGACTGGGCGTCTCTTTTGCATCATCACCCCGTGCTGGCTCGCGCCAGGCCACCTGGACCTGAGTTTCATCAGCACCCACCAGTCGACTTCTCTCCGTGCCCTGCAAGATGTCACCTCTTGTCACCGCCCTGAGTGTCGTGTTTACCGGTCCCGTATCGTCGGTGACGGAGCCCGTATCGGTGACGGTGGCACCGCGCCTTGATCACCGGGCGACTGTCCGTTCACCGCCGATGATCCGTGTACTCTGAGCGTATCACCGACCGTGCTAGCAGTCGTGTTGTTTGTCCCTGGGTGTGACTGCTGATGATGGCGATCCACCCAGAAGGGAGAGGACAAGATTACTTGGAAAGGTCTAGCGCCGTTTTTCCTTCCCTCCCTTCTTCTGACACCTATCCATGTTTTTAAGAACTCTTTTCTCTTCCTTCTCTCTCCTGTCCCAGTTTTGCAAATTTTCAGGTCTCCCAGTATTTTTCTTCCTTCATCTCTCTTCTCCACTGACCACTGTTATCTGCCACTTCTCCCCTCCATTCCCCCGCTGATCACCGACGCTCCAACTGAACGCTGACGTCCCCATGACGTCCTCCCCCGCTGACCCACCCCCGCCAACCGCTGGCGCCCCCCCCCCCCCGACCGCTGACCTTCCCCTTCCCGGCTTACGCTCTCCGCTGACCGCTGACGCCCCCTCTACCCGCCAGGTGTCGCTGATATCAAAGATCGTCCCGTCGCCCGACTGGTTCATCGGCGTCGACAGTGTGGATCTGTGTGAGCACGGACACTGGGTCGACACGCTCGACATCCAGGTAGGCCCGCCGCCTGACATCTCGACATACGGGGGGGATGTCACCACCTGACCTCTCGACATAAATGTAGGCCCACCGCCTGATCCCGCGACATAAAGGTAGGGCCGCCGCCTGATCCCTCGACATACGGGGGGAAGGTCACCACCAGGCCTCTCGACATAAAGGAAGGGTCGCCATCTGACCTGTCGACATACAGGTAGAGCCGCCGCCTGGCTGTTCGACACACGGGTAAGGTCACCACCACCTGACATCTCGACATTCAGTTAGGCCCGCCGCCTGATCTCTCGACACACGGTAAGGCCGCCGTCTGACCTCCCGACGCGTCGCGACGTACGGGTGAGGCTGAGTGAGGGTGAGGTCGCCAACTCATTCCGAGATACGTTTTAGACCACCTGAGTGGACGACTTGCGACAGTTTGCCTATTAATGCGGGCATTGCTTGTTACCAACATTGTGAGAAAAATAGAATCTCCAAACTGAGGACGCGGGAGTACGGGCAGATATATCAAAAGAATCAAAAGAAAAAAAGTTAGTGTTGTTTTCTGATGAAGTATGAACGAGTAAACACTGATTTCAAGTTCGCATGTTAACCCGAATGCAGCTGGGCCAATTATTCACTAAGGGAAGGGAGGGGTCAATCATAAACAGGCGATTGATAGTTGATTTAAGCTAAATAAAGTAATTTGCAACAGTAAATGTCCGAGATTAGACATGATATATTTGACAGCATGCTCAATGGGGGCCGAACCGGTACATTTTTGGCTCAAGCCACATTCAACTTTAGACTGCAGAATCGCGTGTCTGTCATTGGTCGGCAAAATGTTTATAGTCATTTGTCCGACGATTTATGTGGAAATTAACTTCAACCACATTGGCTAGTTTATGCTTCGTATCCTAATCCTTAATGCTTTTTGCATATACCTTTCATCATAATTGGCATCAGCAATAAACATCAATCACATGCATCCTTCGTTTTTTATATTAAATTGCACATACGGTATGCTTACATGCAGTTCCATATTTTTATTCATTTAATATGGAGGCGAAGTGAACGTCAGTAGCAGCACGGATCAAACGAAATAGGGTTTATGATGATCAGGTTTCGTCCTCGTTCCTGGACTTGACAGGACGGTTCGGAGAGTCAACTGTGGCTGGTCATCACCAGTTAAATAGTACTGTAGAAGTGTAATCGAACTTCGGAGTGTAGAGACCCGCTAGGATTGAACGGCAGGACACCGATCTCTCAACAGACATACATGTGATTCCACGCATGTCGTCTCGCTGCACTCTGCAGTCTGCAGTAATATCTTCACGAACAATTACATAAAGTCGTTCTTCTTCAAAATCCTTCTGCAATTCAGAAACTGTTCATAAGATATTTGAATACGGCGGATCATGACGTCCAAATTGTGGGCAGATTGCCTACGAAATTTTGGGACATTGTCAACAACTGAAACCATAGCTTTTGCTCACATAAGGGTTCAAATTTCCTGAAACGTGTTAACGTTTCCGTTCGAGTTTGGTCCAGCCTCGGATCGGTCTTGGTCCGGGTACGGTCCGGGTAAAGTCCGGTCTCTGCCCGCTCCCGAAGGGCGGCAAGCAGCAGCTAACACCATTCCTGGAGCTCTTCACATGCCATCCGTGGGCTGGTGACCAGCCACCCAGCTCATTTTGGCGCGGACTGCTCAATCTGGCGCGTGGATCGCGCGCCCTCACGTGCAGCGATGTGTCGAAAACGGCGCCACAGCCACCTGATCGGCGACAATCGGTGCTGGGATTGACGCCGCCACCGCTACTGGGAGCTCAACAGACGAGCTAACTATGTAACGGAACCAAACGGGGCCTCATGCTCAATGTATGTAGTAAATTGTGTGACTGATAGATACCCTATGTTTACTGTTGGCGTAAAAGGAGCGGGTGAGGTAATTTGCTCGATTGCTGTTCTGATCAATCACTGGTTGGGTTGTTAGTGGGCCAGTGGCTGAACATGAACACGGATGGAATGTCGATCGTCTCAGCACCGGCTGAAAAAGGAACTCACGATGCAATCTTCATTCAAATTAATTGTCTGTGAAACCGTTTGTTTACCAACCAAATCATAATTATTAACTCGATAACAAAGTGCTGATGTAGGTATGTTTTGTTTAAATGTTTATCTGTTTCAGTCTTCCGCCAATTACGAATCTTCCTTCACCTCTAGCCTGTCTATTTGCCAGTCTGACGCAGACATACCTATCTATTGGCCATTTGCTACAAACGATGCCGATGGGTATCATCATACGGAAGGGATTCGGACTCGGCCTCAGTTTTTAAAAGGCAAACGATAAAATGTTTCTTTCCATGTAAAAGGTGATTGATGGCATATTCACTGCAGGAAAATCAATTACCGATATGCATGGCAAACAGAGTGGGTGTACACTGAGTGACTTATATAATGCCGGTTCCTTCTATCCCGGCAGTTGCTGGGGTATTTCGCCACCCACCATTTGCTGGGGGGGGGGGGGCGTTAAACGCCCCCAGCCGATAACTCGAGAACCAATAGGCGCAGCGAAACGCACGAGGCGGCAAACGAAAGAGCGCGACGAGACGCTTCAGATGAGTACTTTAAAGTTGAATTTTGAGGTCACAGGTCGGGTCAAGGTCAGGTCAAACACCTGAAATCGGGCTTTCAGTAGCATGGACTTCAGGGCTTCGCAATGGGCGCCTCTCGTCATAAACTCTGTCAAAACGGTGCACAATCCATCATATAAGGCCTACAAGAGTGTCAGCTCCATGTAGGGGTCAGTCAAGCATAGGTCAGGGTCAAGGTCAGGTCAACCGGGTAGGCACATATCCCCGAAAATCAAAGCTGATATTTGCAACCTGTGACACATGTTTTATAGGTAATTTGGGGCGCAGAACACGATGGTGACATTCATTTTATCATATGTGTACGTGTTTGCCTCAAAAAGTTGAATTTAAGAAATGCATGTATCATGGTCGTGAAGTAGTCACGAAAAATTGCCAAGATTCAGTTCAAGATTATGGAAAATGCGGAACGATAATCAATAATCGAAGATAGCCATTTGATTGATCATGGTATTGGCAGTCTAATGGCGTTTACGGCATGTCTGTATGTCTATTCTGTGATTTTATATGATTTTTTGAACATATGCCGTTTTTGGTCGAAAACTCAGAAATCATGACGTCACTAAAACCTCGATATCTCAAAAATTTTCCGACCGATTTTTTTGAAACTTTGTCACAATAAACTTCAATCAATTCCCTACAGGTACCCAAAATTTGGCGCGCCTGCGGCGCGCCGTTTTTATGCTATGGCCCGGCGAAAAAAGTGGGGGCGTTTAACGCCCCCCCCCCAGCAACTCGCGGGCTATAGTCAGCGGTAAGAGTGCAGACCAGACCGATCCTGAAATACGACCTTTATGTCTTTACCAACACCAGAAACGAACATGACGCATGCCCTTTGTTAGAGAATATAGGTGATGAGGAATCAAATTTGTTTGAGAGCAAATACGTCTTTCGAGCAAAATTATTTTGTAAAACGGTTCATAAGAAGTGAGAAAAAAAATCACAAATGGAAAGGTGCTTTAAATGTGCATATTTGAGCGTCTACGTATTGTAAAACTTTTTTTACAAAACTTTTACCATTCGTCCTGCTGTTGACAGACGTCACCCACTGGCTGAAAGCCAAAAGAAGTGACGTCACCGCTGACCCCCCAGTGACGACATCCACTGACCCCAGTGAACCAGTGACGTCAGTCACTGACCCTGGTGACCCAGTGACGTCAGTCACTGACCCCGGTGACTCAGTGACGTCACCCACTGACTCTAATGACGTCCCTGTCGGCAGCTGTACCCGATGGACGCCGGCACGGACCAGGGTCTGGCGTTCACCTCTCCCAACTGGGAGTCAGTGCCGGCCGAGCCCGTGTACCAGATCACTCCGCGGCGACCGAAGCACCCGGCGAGCAGCTTCCACTACCCGGAGCTGGACAGCTTGCCGCCCATCGCTGACGTCAAGCTGCACAGGGTCAGTAGGACACTCGGGATAGTCTAGCTAGAGTTGTAGTGTGTAGTGCTGGACAGTAGACACTCACGCTGGTACTGGAGTAAGAAGGTCGGGTAGGTCGAGGGTCGAGAAGTGGAGAACTTAAGAAAGGAGCCGGAGAGCCCATCCGCCGCACTAATATAAAATGACCAATGTCGCTGGTTCACAGTCGGTTTTGTACTTGAAGGAAGGACAGGATCGCCGGTGAAGCGAGGCACCCATTTTCGGAGGGGTGGGCTGGGGGTCACCGGTCAATGATCTGTCTGCAGAATTCCATGCATGGCGCCTCGGGCCGCCAGTCTGCAGACAGAAGTCTGTCTGTCTGTCTATCTGTCTCCCTGTCGGCTGGTCACGTTCTGCGTCACGGGGGCACCGGTCGTGGGTGGGAGGTCGGTCGCCTGTCGTGAGACCGCGCCTGTGGCCGAACCCAGGCTCAGCACGGCGACACGACGGCTGGACATCACAGTGACCTCATGCTGGCCTTGATGACACCGCCCTCCGCCCTCCCGTGCCGTCTGGGGTGCCAAGTGGCGACAACGGTCACGGCGGTGGCGGCTCGCTCTTTATGGAGCGCCCAATCCGTCCAGGTCGAAACACGAAAATCCCCTGATGCCATTCAAGGCAATGGAGACAAAAATCGGTTGAATAACGAGCCGACGGCCGTATTCATGCAGGCAATGCCGCTGGTCGGTCGTAGCGGTCGTTATTATCAGACTAGACGGCGGCGGCCCGAAGAAGGCCTGATAAAACACCGTTGATACGTGCAATTTAAAAGACTGCATTTTAAGAAAAGACCGTAACAATGCAGGTGCAGAACAATGCAGCAATTGTTACTTTTTAGTCCCAGATTAGGTAGGCATTCATGCATTTGAATCAAAACACAGGGTGCAGGAAGTCGACGATATCTACGGGCAATATAATGCTGAATATCGTAACATTTGTTTATCCTCACATCTCGACATGGTTTAAAGGCTAATAAACCATCAGTGAGGAACTGCCCGATGTCCGTGTACCGTTTTCACGAACATTTATAATTTCCATCGTTTCCATGTCATCACAGCACCATTGACAATCATCCTTCTCCGACAGGTGCGGTCGTACAAGCTGGCCCACGAGTTTGACCACCCGGACTCGATTGCGTACACGGTGGAGGCGGCTTCTCCCGACAACATCCAAATCGTCACAGCCACGAACGACATCCAGCTGCCCGGAATCCAGGTGAAGGCGCAGGGCGCCGACTCAGACCGCGAGGTGGCACTGCGGTCGGGCGACATTCGGAAGAAGGTGGCGCTGGCGTCGGACAGCCCGACAACAGAGATCGACGGCCTCCGACTGCGAGTGCTTCACAAGGCAGACGGGCTGACCGGCGTCAAAGTTCGCGCCGGCGACCGACAGGCCATCATAAAGAAGATCGCCAACCACTATCACGCGACCAGGCGCAAGACCCGCCGCCGCCGCCGCAAGCACTTCAAGCGGAAACGTCAGTTTCGCCGTCAGGGGACTCGGGAGAGGGATGGCCGCCGCCGCCGCCGTCTAGTGGCGACACCTAGTGACTAATGCTATTGACGCTGCCTTTGGTAGCGTCTGGAATATAGATTCCTGCATAGCGCATAGTGCATATTTGATAAATAATTAGTGTCTTTCAGAGTGGTGGTGTTGAGACGGCCACCCACAGCTGGTAATTCTCTTTTCGTAGATAAGCGATTCATAATTAGCAGGCTTATTCTTTAATAGTGCCTTAGTGAGTTCCTCACCCAAGCTAGAATACGCATTCACAATAATTTTAGTGCCAGTCCATAACTCCCCCCCCCCAGCCCCCTAACCCCTGTCGCTGTCTCACACCTGCACCCTGTGTGCGCCGCTAACGCTAATTCTCCGGCCGCGGCTGGTTACAGGTGCTCCGCGCAACTGCAAGGTGGGCGACTGGGGCGACTGGAGCGCCTGCACGCGCGCCTGCGGAATCGGCGAGATGACGCGCACGCGGCCGGTGGTGCGGCACCCGCGGCGCGGCGGAAAGCCGTGTCCGCCGCTCGAGGAGCGGCGATGGTGCGGCTCGGCGCGCAGTTGCGACAAACGGTACTTCAACTGGTGAGCGCCGCGGCCCGGTGCTCCGGCAGAGACGTCAGGGGAGCCCGCTGGACGTGACGAGATGTGTGATGTCGAGATGTGATCAGAGCCCGCTGTCCCAGCGAGGCGAGGTGATGAAATGTGCTGCGGAGGGGTCGGGGAGGTCCCGACGGTACCGCTGTTCGATCCGAGATTGACGAGCCGGTTGGAAACGATCGTCGTTCCGTGCTGGAAGCGATATGAGTCGTTAGCAGTGCGTGTTGGTGTCTCGCTGTACGATACGTCGCACCTCGTCGATGGTTGTGTCGGTGCCAAGGCGCTGCGCCTGACCACAAACACGGTAACTGATCTGAGCGACATCTATACGCGCGATTGTCGCGCCACCTGTGGTCACGTCGTCAGTCGTGATGTGTGGATCCGCAGCGTTTCACGCTGACGGTGTTGTCTCTCTCTCTTCTTCCGTCCTGTCGCTTCCAGCGGCCGCTGCTGGAGTAAGCGTGTCGGCCGCCGGAGCGGTGCCGAGCAGCGGGCTCGGCACGGTGCTAGCCCACGCGTGTCGCCATTTGAGCTGTCGTTCGTGTTTAATTTATTGCTGGCTCGCCGTCGGTCACCCGATAGCGGTGGCGCAGACGGCGCGGCGAGCCGTCTCGGTGGGGCCTCGAGTCCGTGCCTAATCCCTGCGGGCTGCGGCCCACGGAGTCATCGCTTCAGTCCCAGAGATGGTCTTTGTACTTGGTGGAAAATAAACGAGCTCTAAACATTGGCACAGTGTTTTAGTATGGAATCATTCCGATTGCTGACAGCTGAATCGCGGATATCACATTTGAATCTGACGGTCATGCCAATGTAGCACCAATGTTCGTATGGCGATTGCCGTTCTCATCAGTGTTTAAAACAGCTTCGCTCAGGGAGGCAGAATGCGAGCAGTTTTTGGAATCTGCCGCGGGCCTAAAGTGTTGGTGGTCTGAATTTTCCGAGGAGTGCTGGAGGTGGGGGGGGGGGCATTTATGCCACACCTAACTCGGCTCTGGCGCCACGTATCGTCACGCGGTAAGCGGCATTCGAAAGAGCGTTAAAATAATGACTGAAGTACTTCAATCGTTTTTTAGATAAGGTCAAAGGCCAGGTCACTAGAGGACTAGAGGTCATCAAAGGTCAAGTTTGCCTATTTCAGTTTTTTTTTTTAATCGGCACATATCTCGGAAATAACTGAGTCAGAGCTATTCGGCCGCGGAAAAGCGCATTCGATGGCTCTTTTAGCGTTCTTTCAGGGTGAAAGCTGACCGTTCTCAGATTTCACCCATGATGAGCGGTTTAGCTGCAGAGTCCAGAGGGCAAACAAATATTTTCTGCAAAAACTTTTGACTCAAAAGTGGAGCGACGTTTAATTTACCGGCACGGCATCGTGTCTCTCGTCCAGAACCGTCAAATAAACTATCATTTAACCTTCAAAAGGCTATTTTGAAACTTACTTTGGTCTATTTTGGTCATGACCTGACCGTAAAAGGTCATGCGCAATCAGACGAAAAGGTCATGTTGCGATCGTCGAGCTGAGCATATGCAAGGTCTTTTCATCACTCTAGCATATATCTCAATCAAAAGTTATTGTAACAGTTGCTGAAGACCTTTCATCATCTCAGGGGCGTAACGAGGCCAGAGGGGTTGCTGGTGCAGTTTTCCGATTCAGTGTCATGTTTACTTAATTTTCCGATGCTTGAGAATGTTTGGTATGACGTCCGTCCAGGATTTGTTAAATTTTCCCCCTTGGAAATAAAGGTGGCAAAATTGACCTCACTTCAGGTCACCGATATCGAAAATCTGAGATACACACTTTATCAATAGGTACTGATAAGCTCCTCGATCACCTGAAAGTTTCAAAGCAATCGGTCAGTCGGTGTCAGTGTGGCTATTCTTTATTCTTTATTCTTTATTTCAATTCAACACCAACGGGCAGCATACCCAGTAACAGGTGCAGTCATTTCATAAAACTCAATAAATAGACATACACATAACACAACACAGAAAATAATACAACCGCAAACACAGTAAAATCTGATGACTGATACCACCTTGAAGGACACGGTTACGAGAATTCAGTCATCTGTCAGACTCCCATCACATGCCGTTTCACTCTAGTTCTGAATTCCATTGCGCCACTCTCCCATATATCCACATCTCTGTTTACATCAAGAAAAGCGTTGCATGCCTTTGGTATGCGGTTGAAGGCGCAAGAACGAACCGTTTCAACTTTTGCAAATGACGCAGCGAACAAGGCCTGAGTACGTAGTTGGCGGGAGGGTACAGCGATGGGGAACTTCTCTACCAAAAACTGCGAATCTATCCGGTGCCTGTGGACATTTCGTATAAACATGATATCATGCTGCTTGTGTCGGGCAGCAATGGTGTTGACCTTAAAGTATGTGACGAGTTCACCATAGTCCAAAGAAACTGCTGCATCTACACGGCAACGGGCACAGAGCCAAACTAGAAACTTTTCCTGGACACGTTCGATCCTTTTCATATGTGTTTGAGCCGTTCCAGCCCACACCACGCTGCAATATTCCAGAATTGAACGGACATTTGCAAAGTAAGTTGACATGATGGCACGATGGTTCGCCAAACTGAAAGATCGACCGCGCTTTCCTGTCGCGTACGTGCGCATGAGTAGTCCCAGAGCCATGTTGGCCTTCCGAACAGTGCGGTCTACATGCTCGCCAAACGTGAGCTTCTGGTCTAAAAATACACCCAGATCTCGCATCACTGTAACGCGCTCAAGCACTACATCTCCCATCGCGTAAGCTGCCATTACAGGATTGCGCCTCAGTGTCAGACTCAGAACCTTACACTTGTCCGGGTTCAGAGTCAGTTTCCACATATCCGACCACGAGCATAGGGAGTTCAGCTGAGTCTGCAAGAAGTGCGCGTCCGTCAGACCATCAACTCTACTATACAGTTTTACATCATCCGCAAACATAAGGACATCGGTCTCAATCACATCGGGTAGATCGTTTATAAAACAAGCAAAGAGCAGAGGCGAAAGTAGACCGCCTTCTGGAGTTCCTGAGCTCACATTTACCCAGTCTGAACACTTCCCCTGAACCACCACTCTCTGCTTTCTTTCAGACAGGTATGAGGAAATCCAATTTAAAGCTTTGTCTGAAATTTGATACGATGATTTGAGCTTGTGAATCAGTAAACTGTGGTTGACGGATTGAAAGGCCGAACTATAGTCTGTATATATCACGTCTGTTTGTGATCCGGCAGAGATGTTGGTCCAGGCTGCGTGCAATAGCGTACAAAGATTGGTAGAACATGAACGGCCAGGCATGAAACCATGCTGCCGTTCAGACACGACCGGTTTCACATGTGCAAAAAGCTCGTTAAAAACGATCCGCTCCAATACTTTTCCAAAAAGTGGTAAAAGTGACACCGAACGGTAGTTGCTGGGACACGCTTTGGATCCCTTCTTGTGAACTGGAACGATGTTTGCACATTTCCAGGCTCGCGGGAAAGTTCCCTGTTCCAGTGACAGTTTACAGAGTAGGGTGACGGGCATCGCCAGCTCAGCCGCACATTCTCGTATCACTCGAGCACTGACGTTATCTGGGCCACACGCCTTATGCGGGTCGATGCTAGTCAACACGTTTCGAACAGTGTCCTCTCCAACGTGAAACGAGCGCAGCGGATCTAACTCATAGGCGGTGACTGGTGGAAAAAATGCCACGGAAGGATCACTGAACTTAGAAGTAAACGTTTTGTTCAAAAGGTTGGCCTTTTCCAGGTTATCAGTCACTTTTCTGTCTCTATCATACAGATGCGTCAGCTGGCCGTTTTTCCCCTTTATACATTTCACAAATGACCAGAATCGCTTTGGGTTAGTGTTAAGGTCGTCTACAAGACCAGTAAGGTACGAATAAAACTTATCACTGGCGAGACGCTTAAACACACGACGTTTTTCTCTGAACATCTGTTGGTTGTCGGCTGTTTCTGCTCTTCTCATCCTCCGGTGAGCCGCCTCCTGGCGAGCAGTGGAACTTCTTCTCAGGTAGGGTCATTTGACGTGACCTCGTGACCTGCCCTTTAACCCGCGCATGACTGGGGTATTTTCAATAACGCGAGTGACTGGGGGAGGGGCTCTCCAGAGCCCCCCTCCTATCTCCGAAACTACTGGGCCGATCGTGAAAATTCAAACGGCGTCTGATAGCCCTGGAAAAACTATCGAACGAAACCTATTTTCATTGACCTCGAGGTCACCGATGACGTCACAGGTCAGGTCAAAGTAAAAATTATCGACATTTTTGCTAGTTCACAATTTAGGCTCTGACCGCCGGACCGCCGGTCCCAGAGGTGAAAAAACCCGGCTACTCGCCTGCGTGCGTAGGTGACAGCCATAGGAATAAGGAGACAGATTCGAGCATCTTAGTTAATGCACCTAAAATTAATAACTAGGCCGTTTCCGCCAAAATCAGAGCTGTCCTCCCATAGAGAGCCACTATGGACCACGGCACAAAAATTTAACAGCGTCATCAGGGCGTATTTTAGCATGTTAACTGGGTCGGCAATTGCCGACCCAGTCACGGAGAATGCCGACCCAGTGACAGCCGTTTGCCGACCCAGTTGCCGCCCCTTCTAGGATGCAGCACGCACATGCAGGCTAGGTGCCGTCATTCATAGTGAGGCTGCTGCCCTCCGAAATGATAATGTCGCCTCTTAAAGTGAAGCAGTCGTCTATAGAAAGTGATGATCCCGCAACTCAATGTGACAGTGCCGCCCCTAAATCTGTTAGTAGCCCCACTCAATGTAATGGTGCCGCCCTTCTAAGCATCTGTGGAGCCCCTCAATGTGATGATACCGCCCCTCAAGAAGATGATGCCGCCCCTTTCAGTATCGGTGGCGCCCCTCAATGTGATGGTGCCGCCCTCAAAGTGCCGTTGGCGCCTCTGAATGTGATGGTGCTGCCCGCCAACGAGTCGGTGGCGCCCCTCAAAATGATGCTGCCGCCCCGTATAGTGTCAGTGACGCCCTTCGAAGTGTCGGAGGAACCCACCAATATAATGGTGCCGCCCCTCTAGGTATCCACATAGCCCCTTATTGTGATGGAGCCGCCCCTCAAGCAGATGATGCCGCCCCTCAAGAAGATGATGCCGCCCCTGAATGTGATGGTGCTGCCCGCCAACGAGTCGGTGGCGCCCCTCAAAATGATGCTGCCGCCCCTTAAAGTGTTAGTGCCGCCCCTTATAGTGTCAGTGACGCTCTTCGAAGTGTCAGAGGAACGCACCAATATAATGGTGCCGCCTCTCTAGGTATCCACATAGCCCCTCATTGTGATGGAGCTGCCCCTCAAGCAGATGATGCCGCCCCTCAAGAAGATGATGCCGCCCCTTTCAGTTATCGGTGGCGCCCCTCAATGTGATGGTGCCTCCCTCAAAGTGTCAGTGGCGCCCCTAAATGTGATGGTGTCTCCGTCGGTGGCGCCCCTCAAAATGATGCTGCCGCCCCTAAAAGTGCTGGTGCCGCCCCTTACAGTGTCAGTGGCGCCCTTCAAAGTTTTGGAGGAACTCATCAATACAATGTTGCCGTCCTCCAACTTTCTGTAGCGCCCCTCCATATACATAATGGTGCCGCTTCTCAAACCATCCGTGGCGCCCCTCAAAGTGATGGTGGCGCCCCTTACAGTGTCGGTGGTACTGGTGTCTCTTCAAAAGTCAAATCTGTTGTCCCGAGCTGTCGTACAAAACTGGAGGCTCCGGCGGCACTGTGAGA